CTCCAATAGTTTTGAACCCTGGTTTTGGAAATACGTAGACAATTGGTCATGAAACCCATCCCTAGTATGTGTTTCGATCTTGTAGTACGATTTAACGTCTATTTGTAACTATTTGTGTTAGTATTTTTTAGTTCAAAATTCTGGGTATCGGATGTTGAAGGCTTGTTTCCGGACAGACTCTAACTAGAAGATTGTGTAATTTGCTGTTTGTACCCAGTGCATCGCTATTACGCTGCCTGATTTGTCGAGCTGGCACAATTGCGCGGACAGCAACGCAGCGCGCCCGTGCAATTTGCGCTCCACTTTGCAGCATCCAATTTCTGCAGCCAATCATATCCCCAGTACGATTCCTGCATCACTTTCCCAGCCAATGAAACTCGCTTGTTCCTTATGCGCCAGCACATTACTTGCCAGTCCAGGATATCTTCGCCACCTACGAGAACCTGCTTGTCATGGGATGCGATGGTGGCATGTGTGGTGGAGATTGTTCCGAAACGTTTCATACCTCCTGACCGTTCAATATTGGAGTGTGATAGGCTATTTTCGAGACTGTTACGTTAGGGAATTGTTTCTATTCAGTTTTTTTTCGCCAGTTTGTTTGCTTCTCATGCCCAAAACGCCAGCTTCACTTCACCTCCTCCGCCCCTTTCTCGAAACGCCAGCTCAACCTCACCCTCCCCATCCCCATTTCTCGAAACACCAGCTCGACTTCACTCTCCCTTGCTCATTTCTCTGGAGTCAAGTCTGCACAACTCCTTCCTCCCTTCACACTTCCTTTCACACATCTTACTTCCCGGCGGGTGTGTCTGCTTCCTTGTCAGTCAGTCAGCGCAGCCCTGCTTACGTTTTCGTGCTCTCGTCTGTCAGCGCGCTCCTGCTCTAGCCCCGTCAACTCCAGGTACTGCCACTCTTCCTTCTAAGCATTTTCGACTTCAATTGGCATGCCTTTTCAATAGCTAGTGCTTGTTAATGCACGCCTTTTTAAGACTACCCTAATTTCTAAGTTTCCTCGTTTCCACCTGTTACGTTTTTTATTTTGTACAGGTCGCTTGGAAACGTGTGTGAAGGACCTGCGACGGAAAAACTCCAGCTGCTAGGCGTCGTGGTGCGGACAGCGTTCAGCCGCTCCCTCGGCCTGACGTTTTTCAGGTAAGGATCCAATTCACGCTAGTCATTTGAGTGTCATTTTTTTTTCTGCCTTCGCCTCTTGGATGTTGTTTGCAGGTCGCGTATATGTGGAGAAGAGTCTGCCGATGCGGAATCGTCGATTTATTAAGCGTGGTGTCGTTTATCCCCAGGTAGTCAGCGGCTGTGAACCTATTAGTAGCTGTTTCCAGCTACTGCCAGCGCCAGTTTTATGTTCTGTTGTGCAGGAACAGATGAATCCGGCTTGTTGGAGCCAGGTGGCTATAATGTGTTATAGGATAGTTCAATAGTGATTGTTTAGAGTTAGGTTAGGTAAACCTGCTACTTGCCTGTGTTGTCAGTCGATTATGACTAACGCTGGTACGGTTTTTAGCTGATAAAGATAAAATTAATACTGTATTGCTCTAATGGGAACTATACCCAAACGCTACGTTAATATCGGATGAAACGCGAGAATATGGAGCCCTTTTTTTACGAAATTGTAACCGGTTACCCTGTTATTATTGCTATTGTTCTGTTCAAACAATTATATTCACATATGCAAATGGCACAATATGGACCGTGTAACGAATCCAGGTTACCCTGTTGAGGCCGGTTACAGGACTCGGTTACAATTGGGGTGCCATATTTTTTGTACGGGTTTACTGGCCAAATCAATACTGTTTTTATCGGCAATTTACAACAGCATGATTGGTTTGCAACATGATAGCACAACGAATACGCGCAGGCCACGTAAGAATCGAACTGAGGGAACACATTCATAGTTACGGTAAGGCAGCTTTCAAAATTTTGAGATGTACGGCCCGGATGCTACGTTTAGAATAAGCCAATCAGTTTTGAGTTTGGTTTTCACATTTAGCTAGTGCGCGCGAGACACGTGGTAGTCGAGCTCAATAGCTACGGAAAAGTTGCTTTGGCTTATGTCGAGATGTGCGGCCGCGATCTATCGCAGATATTTCGTCCGAAAGGGGTCAAACGAAAACCTACGCCAAAGCAACACTTCCACCCTCTTTGAAGCATGTGACAGAAAGGGTACGTCAGAGCAGCTTTGGTGCTGGTTTCTCGTAAGTTCTGTCGACCCTGTTTTTTCCGATGTGCTTGTCTACCCGATCTCATGGTGTGCATACGTCCAACTCGAGACAAGGCCCAAGAACGATTGGCACTCACAGGGTATTAAAACCAGGGTACACATTCAACGCGACTCCAGGCTAAATTTTGGGCGGCATGTTTGCGGGAACTGCTGATTGGTTGACGAGTAGCGAATAAATAGTTGAGAATGGGCGAGCATGGGGCTTTTCGTCCGTGAGAGATGAGGCTTGGCAGGGGAGAAATTGATAACACTTGGATCTAGAAATTGGGGATCAAGGGGAGGGCAACTGGGTTGGCGGAAAGGGGAAAGGGGGTGAGACGATATTGTGGGGGAAGGGGAAACAATTTCGGTGGGAGCGGAATAGGTATGGGGAGGGGGGAAACGAATTGGCGGAAGCACATTCGATGACTTCGGTTTACATTTGCCAAATCTCGAGGGTTCAAATGTTCACCTGCTGAAGCGAACACTCCCCCCAGATATTCCTAAATCACTGAGTAACCCCGAGGTCAAAGGTTAACCTTTGACAGAAATCCAATTGAATGTGCACCCTGGTTTTAAGATTCGCAAGGTTGCTGATAGAGTCGGGAATGGAGCCATTGAAGTTGTTGTTCTCCATGTTTCTGATGAAATGACGACAAAGAACATGCATGCAGGTGTCAAGAATAATGAATGGCCGCGTAGTGTAGGCATGTGTAGACTCAACATGGTGAGATTGCGAAAGTTCTCTGAGGGTTTAGGGCTTCTCTACACACACACACACACGGCTTTGCGATCCGCACAACCAGCATGTTGTGATTCCGATCTTATCAAATTGGGTGACACAAGAGGAAGTGAACGAAGGTAGACGACCCTATAATGCACGATATTACAGCAGGCTGGAAGCATACGGGTAGTACAAAACTTCGGAACAATATCGGAATTAATAATTTGGACCAGAATTGGACCACAACTTGTGGTCAAGGGGGCGTGGTGAGGCGACGAGGACCTACCATTCCATCCACGTTGGGCCGCCCGGGGTTCCACTCACATGGCTGTTATCATGCCCTTGGCATCGCACGTGACGTTCCTTGCCTTGCTGCAGTCCCCACCAACCACCCAGCCTTCGATCGTCGTGTTCCACGCCTTCTGACAGTCCAGCAGCACTTGCGCTGGCGGCAGGAGGAGGGAATACAGGAATCGAGGAGAGGAGGGACGACTTCTGATGGTTGGACCGATCTCGTCACATGCGCGCGCAACAAAAGGCGGCGATGCAGAAAAGGAGCAGAAATAGAGGTGTAAATGTCACGATCAAGTCGATCGACTTGAGTCAAGTCCAAGATTTTCTCTTGTCTCCTCTCTCTCCTCTAACATCTGCAGGCACGAAACGTTATTTACCCTGGGACTTGGCAAGCGGAACGCAGTTAACACGTGAGACTGCGAGACACGTCAGCAGGAGCAGCGCGACGAGGGCTGCGCGCTCCATGAGGAAAAGCGCCGCTTTCGAGATTGTAACAATGGCGGTCGGCTCCAAGTGATGTCAGTGAAGATAAGTGGCGGTCTCACAGGTTCCTACGAGCACAGTACCAACTGCTAGGGATGGTGCTTGTTTCAAGCACTGGTACCAGTGGCCTAACCAGGACAGTTGAGCCTCGTTGCCTTTCAACTGCGAACTGGGTTATGAGACGGCTCGATCAGATTTGTTGTTATGGAGCAGTTTACCGTTGGCCTTCACAAGGGTGGTTTTCGTTTCGTGGACATGTTCTGTTCGAGCTCCTTTCCAGTTTCTTTTTTGCGCGATGAAGCCCAGGCGGAATCTCTCATGTCTCCTGTCCCGTCGGGCAAAACTCGACGGATACCCTGCCTGTCCCAGGTTATGGCTGAAATGCACTGGAGGATGTTTGAGGACGAGGAAAAATAGTCCAGAAACTAAATGCTGGAATGGAAGGCTTCAGATCGCGCCAAGGAAAACCATCAGCGAGAGTCGGATTTCCAGAGAAGTTAGGGAAGTCGAAGGACTGGGGAGGGCGAACTCAAATCCGAAGTTTTAGTGCTCCGGCCAGACCCAAGGGTTCATGCTTAACATGAAGTCTAACATCCGAAGTAGCTCTGAAACCCGAAGGGTGTCCTCTGTACATCATTCGAATTTTCAAATTATCACAGAACCGGCCCTGGGGACGAAGGTGTTTTTGTGGATCTAACTTCCTTTATACCTCGCAAATACGGGTAAGCGGTGGCCTACAACTCCCGCTGTTATCCAATTCATGTGCGATTCGGACTTGTAAGACGGCTCGATCGGGATTTGCTGTTAGATCTTTGGTTGCGGAGGAGTTGCATACGTGTCCATCTCTCAATGGGCTTCACACGTGTTGTTTGGGAACAAGTGTTGTTGGTGATAGGTTCGGCCTTATCAAGACCGGTTCTTCCAAGCGAACCTGAATTAGTTTCCTATAACAGTTTCTCATCTACTCCGAATATCTCACTTATAATAGCGTGTCACTCAATAGCGGAGTTACCCTTTACCAGCACTTGCCGCTTCGTCAAGACTCTAGTCTTCCCACTCGATGCCTTTGGGAAACTAGTCGTAGTCTGAACAGAAACATTAGGTTCTTAGTCGCACCATTTTCAGGGAGGGCTAGGTAGCTACTTTTTCCGGGCCCAGTAGCAGCCCCATTGCTTTCGTGTTCTTTTAACTTTCTAGAAAGGAATAGTACCTCAGGGTTTCACGATAGAGTTTTTGAGAGTTTCCTCTACAGCTGCCTCTGCCCCTTCCGTTCTTCGCCTGGGCATGTGGAAGCGCAAATTCTCCGCAGCCGGCGGAGATGCTTCCGCCGAATCTTCCGCCTCGCGCGGCCGTGGTGCGGGCGGGAGCGGAAGCGGAAGCAGCGGATTCGGCTTCGTGCGCTCGGGGGGAAGCGAGTACACGCCGCCCGTGAATCCAGCCGGCTCGTACGGCGGCTTCGGCGGCGGAGGAAGCTACGCCGGCTACCGCGGCGGCTCGGGTCGGCGGTCGCTGCCGGACGACGAGGACGACGATATAGCGGATATCGAATACCGCGATGACGGGGATGGGGGCGCCACGACGGCTACTGGTTTCGGGGAAGGAGAAGACGACGAGGGAAACCGGCGTGCGGCGGCGGCGGAAGAGGAGGAGGAGGATCCGCTCGACGCGTTCATGTCGGGCATCGAGCAGAAGGTGAAGGAGGACGCGGTCGCCGCCACTTCGCGCGCGGCGGCGGCGGCGGCGGGCGCGAAGGGCGGAGAATCGGGGGAAGCCGCAAAGCCGGAGCGGGAGGACTGGCGCGCGGAGGAGGAGGAGGCGGATCTGCTCGACTCGTTCCTGCGCGCGCGCAAGAGCGCGGGGCTGTCGGTGGCGGCGGAGGCTGTGATGGGGCGCGGGTACGACTCGGACGAGGAGGTCTACGCCGCCGCGAAAGCCGTCGACGCCGCTGCCGCGGCCGCGGCCGCCGCCGGCGCTGCGGGCGGCGCGGCTGGGTCCGCATTAGAGTACGACTCGGACGATAACCCGATAGTGGCTGACTCGGTAACGTCGTTAAAGAGCAAGATGGACGCGCTAGGCCACGTAGACCACTCAGCGATCGAGTACGACGAGTTCGAGAAGGATTTCTACCAGGAGCATCCTGACGTCACCGCCATGTCAGCAGCCGACGTGGCGGCGCGGCTCGCGGCGCTCTCGATCCGCACGTCGGGCTTCGATGTGCCGCGGCCGATCAGCGCGTTTGCGCACGCCGCGCTCCCCCCCGCGCTGATGGGCGCAGTGCGCAAGCACGGCTACTCCGCGCCCACGCCCATCCAGTCCGCCGCGCTCCCCGTCATCCTCAGCGGCCGTGACGTCATCGGCGTCGCGAAAACCGGCTCCGGAAAAACTGCCGCGTTCGTCCTCCCGCTGATCGTCCACGCGGCGGACCAGCCGCGCGCGGGGCGCGGGGAGGGCCCGATCGCGCTGATCTGCGCGCCGACGCGCGAGCTGGCCGCGCAGATCCACGCGGAGGCGCGGCGCTTCGCGAAACCCCTAAACCTCCGCGTGGCGGGCGTGTTCGGCGGGATGTCGAAGTTCGAGCAGTTCAAGGAGCTCAAGGGGGGCGTGGAGGTGGTGGTGGCGACGCCCGGGCGGCTGATCGACATGCTCAAGATGAAGGCGCTGTCGCTGCGACGCTGCACGTTCCTCGTTCTGGACGAGGCCGACATGATGTTCCACCTGGGCTTCGAACCTCAGGTGAGAGCCATCGTGGGGCAGATCCGTCCCGACCGCCAGACGCTGCTCTTCTCCGCCACCATGCCGCGCCGCATCGAGCGCCTCGCGCGCGACATCCTTACGCACCCCGTGCGCATCGCCGTGGGGGAGGTGGGCGCCGCCAACACGGACGTGCGGCAGCAGGTGGTGGTGCTGCCAGGGGACGACGCCAAGGTCCCTTGGCTGCTGGGGGAGCTGGGCACGCGCGTGGACGAGGGCGACGTGCTCGTGTTCGCCGGGACCAAGGCCAAGGTGGATGTGGTCACCGCCGCTGTAGCCGCCGCGGGGTTCAAGGTCGGCGCGCTGCACGGGGATCTGGACCAATCGCGGCGCAGCGAGGTGGTGCGGCAGCTGAAGAAGGGCGAGCTGCACGTGGTGGTGGCGACTGACGTGGCGGCGAGGGGATTAGACATCCGGTCGATTAAAACGGTTATCAATCTGGACAGTGCGCGGGACATGGACGCGCATGTGCATAGAGTGGGGCGGACGGGCCGGGCGGGGGACACGGATGGAGTGGCGATTTCGGTGGTGACGGGGAAGGAGGCGCGGTTTGCAGGCGAGCTCGTGGGGTGTCTGGTGGCGGGCGGGCAGGAGGTGCCGGCTGAACTGCTCGAGCTGGCGATGAAGGTGAGGTGGGGGGGGGGAGGGGGAGTAAAGTATGAAGGTGAGGGGAGAGGAGGTTAGAAGGTGAGAGGGAGGGTGGAGCGCATGCACGGGCAGGGCGGTTGATACGGATGGAGTGGCGATCTTGGTTGTGACGGGCAAGGAGGCAAGGTTTTCGGGCGAGCTGGTGGGGTGTGTGGTGGCGGGCGGGCAGGAGGTGCCTCTTGAGCTGCCGGAACTGGCAGTGAAGGTGAGGGGGGGACGGAAGTGAGGGGGAGGGGGGCTTTGTGGTGAGAGGAGAAGGGGGCGCCTAGTTATCTTGACAAGATTATGACTCGGGTAAGGAGGGGTGCGCCCCTTGCTCTGAAGAAAGAGGGGAAGCACGATACGGGAGGGAGGCAGGAGGGTGTACTTGAAGGTTATAAGAAGGAGGGGTGGGCTGTTGCTGGTGGGGGTTGCTGTAGAGTTATGGGAGGCTCTCCCGTTCTCTCTCTCCGGGTCTCTCTCTCTGGGTCTCTCTCTCCGGGTCTCTCTCTCCGGGTCTCTCTCTCTGGGTCTCTCTCTCCGGGTCTCTCTCTCCGGGTCTCTCTCTCCGGGTCTCTCTCTCCGGGTCTCTCTCTCCGTGTCTCTCTCTCCGGGTCTCTCTCTCCGGGTCTCTCTCTCCGGGTCTCTCTCTCCGGGTCTCTCTCTCCGTGTCTCTCTCTCCGGGTCTCTCTCTCCGGGTCTCTCTCTCCGGGTCTCTCTCTCCGGGTCTCTCTCTCCGGGTCTCTCTCTCCGGGTCTCTCTCTCCGGGTCTCTCTCTCCGGGTCTCTCTCTCCGGGTCTCTCTCTCCGGGTCTCTCTCTCCGGGTCTCTCTCTCCGGGTCTCTCTCTCCGGGTCTCTCTCTCCGGGTCTCTCTCTCCGGGTCTCTCTCTCCGGGTCTCTCTCTCCGGGTCTCTCTCTCCGGGTCTCTCTCTCCGGGTCTCTCTCTCCGGGTCTCTCTCTCCGGGTCTCTCTCTCCGGGTCTCTCTCTCCGGGTCTCTCTCTCTGGGTCTCTCTCTCCGGGTCTCTCTCTCCGGGTCTCTCTCTCCGGGTCTCTCTCTCCGGGTCTCTCTCTCCGGGTCTCTCTCTCCGGGTCTCTCTCTCCGGGTCTCTCTCTCCGGGTCTCTCTCTCCGGGTCTCTCTCTCCGGGTCTCTCTCTCCGGGTCTCTCTCTCCGGGTCTCTCTCTCCGGGTCTCTCTCTCCGGGTCTCTCTCTCCGGGTCTCTCTCTCCGGGTCTCTCTCTCCGGGTCTCTCTCTCCGGGTCTCTCTCTCCGGGTCTCTCTCTCCGGGTCTCTCTCTCCGGGTCTCTCTCTCCGGGTCTCTCTCTCTGGGTCTCTCTCTCCGGGTCTCTCTCTCCGTGTCTCTCTCTCCGGGTCTCTCTCTCCGGGTCTCTCTCTCCGGGTCTCTCTCTCCGGGTCTCTCTCTCCGGGTCTCTCTCTCCGGGTCTCTCTCTCCGGGTCTCTCTCTCCGGGTCTCTCTCTCCGGGTCTCTCTCTCCGGGTCTCTCTCTCCGGGTCTCTCCGGTCTCTCTCTCCGGGTCTCTCTCTCCGGGTCTCTCTCTCCGGGTCTCTCTCTCTGGGTCTCTCTCTCCGGGTCTCTCTCTCCGGGTCTCTCTCTCCGGGTCTCTCTCTCCGGGTCTCTCTCTCCGGGTCTCTCTCTCCGGGTCTCTCTCTCCGGGTCTCTCTCTCCGGGTCTCTCTCTCCGGGTCTCTCTCTCCGGTTCTCTCTCTCCGGGTCTCTCTCTCCGGGTCTCTCTCTCCGGGTCTCTCTCTCCGGGTCTCTCTCTCCGGGTCTCTCTCTCCGGGTCTCTCTCTCCGGGTCTCTCTCTCCGGGTCTCTCTCTCCGGGTCTCTCTCTCCGGGTCTCTCTCTCCGGGTCTCTCTATGGGTCTCTGCTTTCTCGTCTCCTTGTTGCCTTCGTCCCTAACTCGCCCCGTTCTTGGTGTGCTGTTCCCTTCCTTTGCAGGATGCTCGGTTCAGAGCGCAGAGGGAGGGCAGAGGAGGTGAGTCACTGGGCTCTCTTCTTCTCTCCACCATCTCTTGCCATTTACCCCTAACTCCTCCCGCGTTCTCCCATCCCTCCCTCCCCCCCCCCCGGCCCTCCCTCCCTCGCTTTTCTTTGAGAAACATCCCTGCTGTTCTGTGTTCTTTTTTTGCACCCGTTGCACTAGCTTGTTACTCAAAGCACCTCCTCTCTTCCCTCCCTCCTTACCGTTCTTTCTCTCTACACCGTTCCTCCTCTCTTCCCTCTCGGCCCGCCACCCTTGCCCCTCACCATCCACAGGTTTCCGCAAGGGCAAGGGGGGAAGAGGCGGAGGGGGAGTGGGGAGGGGGGCGCGGGGGGTGGACTATGGCATGGGGCTGGGCTTCCAGGAGAGGGGAGGGGCAGGGGCAGGGGGAGGGGGAGGGGGAGGGGGAGGGGGAGGGGGCGGGGGGAGAGGCATGGGGGCAAAAGGGGGGGGGCGAGGGAGTGGGGCAAATGCGTTCGTGTCTGGGGGGTCACTGGGTGTTGCTGGGACGCCGACTGATCATTCCGCTTCTGCTGCTGGTGGCGGTGCTAGTGGTGCTACTGGTGGCAGCAGTGGGGGCAGCAGGGTGGGCACGCGAGCAGGGGCGGTGGATGCACTGCGGGTGGGCATGATGGCCAAGTTCAAGTCCTCCTTTGTCGCTGCCTCCGCTCCCCACCCCCACGACCCTGTCCCCGACCTCCCTCTTCCTCCTCCGCCTCCCCCGCCTGCTCCTGCCGCCTCTCTGCCCGCTCCTCCACCTCCTGCTGCTGCTGCCCTTGCGGCACCACAAGCAGCAGTCGCAGCGCCAGCTTGGGGGGCGAGCGGTGGAGGTGGTGTTGCCGCTGCTGCTGGCGGCAGCAGCATGGGGGCAGACGTGGTGGCCGCTGCGATTGCAGCGGCGGCAGCCAAGGCTGCTGCCATCGCTGCCAGCCTCGGCCTGCAGGCCCCCGGGGGGGTGGGTGGGGCAGCAGGCCTGGGAGGGGCAGCAGCGGGAGGGATGGCAATGGGAGGAGGGGCGACGGGGCCGGTTGCTGGCTTGGGTGCAGCTGCAGGAGGAGTTGATGGTGTTGGGGAGGTGGGGGATCGAGGTCAAGAGAGAGGGTTGGACAGGGATGGAGAGAGAGACAGAGAGAGCGACAGAGATAGGGAGAGGGAGAGGGAAAGGGAGAGGGAGAGGGATGGATATGGAGGTAGGGATAGAGGCAGTGAGAGGGAGAGGGAGAGATATAGAGAGAGGGAGGGGGATCGGTACCGTGACAGGGATCGGGAGAGACACAGAGAGAGAAACCGAGATGGGGGTAGGGACAGGGACAGGGACAGGGATAGGGATAGGGACAGAGATAGGGAGAGGGAGCGGGGAAGATATGGGGAGAGAGAGGAGAGGAGAGGAGCAGGGGCAGGGAGGAGGAAGGGCGGCAACGGTCCAGCCGGTGGGGATGAGGGCATGGGGAGATGGGGAGATGGGGGAATGGGGATCACCGGAGCGTGGTGAGGGTTGTGCCACATGGTGGAGAGAGAGAGGGGTGTAAAGCAGTGATTGTAGGGGCTCACCTCTCACTACCCTCACACATATGGGTTTGCTGCGACATCTTCCCTGTCTTCCATTCTCGGCCAATCTCCCTCTTCCAACACTACCACTGACGGGGTTGAATAGTGAGTTATTGATTGCAGCGGCACTGACACGGCACACACACCTACGTCATTATGTGCCGCACATGTCATTATGTGCCGCACATGTCATTATGTGCCGCACATGTAATCATGTGCCACTGTGTAACATCGTCTTTTAAGTTTCATGTTTGGTGGGTTGTGATTGGCTAGGATTGAAGTCATTCCAAAGTAGCTTCTATGTGGCTGTCTTCGGTTCGTTCTACTGTGCATGTGATGTCTAGATAGGAAGCACGAATGATGAGATTAGGCAGCATGAGAAGTACAAGTATGAAACCTAAAGAATTGTACTCTCTAAGGAGTGCCCTACTACAGCCAGGGCTCTTGCTATGTTTTGAGCCCGTCTGAAAACATACCGTAATCCCCCGTATATAAGACCCTAGGGTATTATGATAATCACCCCTAAAAAGGCTGGGGGGTATAATTAAATGGTATATTTTTTAGAAGACCCGGGTCTTTTAACATTGACATTTATAAGAATGCACGATGTTGTACATTTCAGTCTCGTAAGTTCAATCGAATCGAACTTTTACAGCGTCCTGAATCCCAAAATCTGTTTTGTCTGACGTTCAGATGGGGGAAAAAAAATGGTCTGATTTTTCAAACGAATGAGAAAGGCATGTCTGATTTTCCAGATGAAATGAGTAGTGTTGTCTGTTTTTGCAAATTGTAGTTGTATCATGTTGTTTTTATCAGAGCGACACAACCGAATCATGGGGATGTCGGGCTGCGAGAGCCGGGAGAGTGCAGCAGGGGGTTCGGATGCTGAGCTGCGAGAAGTGTTGGGCTGAGAAGTAGCCCTTAGAATCTTTGCAGGACTAAATTCCTGGTAGAACTGATGTAATAGCGGAAGCGTTCAATGAGGAGTTTGTGAACCACCTTGCGCTGGTATGCGAGGGCAAAGTAGATTGATTAAAAACAAAGAGATACAAGCCTTTTATAAGAGTACAAGGGAATATGAAGGGTTATTATTAATAACTGTTTTGCTGTTGCTGTTGCGGTTCAATAGCGACTCGGGCAGTGACGACTCGGGCAACTGCTCAATAGCGAGTCAGTTGTTTGTCCTTGCTGTCGCGCTGTACTTGTCAGGTCAAAGGTCGCTGACCTTTGACTTTCGCGTAACCTCCAGCCGTTGCTCAACCTCCGAGGGTTGACTCGCTGGTGCTTCGATATGTTTCGCTTCGCTTCTGACTTGGTGTTTCGACACGACAGAGGCGCTTAAGTTACTTGTTTCCAACACTCCCCTTCGCTTCTGGAGTGTCGCTGCTGGTGACGTGGCTCTGTCCAGTCAGCAGCATGCAGTGCTCGAACTTCTGCTTTCCGAGCTTCTTGGTCAAGTAATCAGCTGCCATCTCGGTCGTGGGGCAGTAGGATAATTCGAGTCTCCCCTTCTCGATCGTCTTTCACGAAGAAATATCGCAGGGCGATATGCTTCGTCTTGTTCGCGAATCTGTTTTTGTTGGCTATGCGAATTGCCGACTGGTTGTCGCAGAACAGAGTGAAGCTGGGTAATTGAGCCAGCTTCGCTTCCTCCAAGAGTTCGCAAAGGTACAATCCTTCCTTGGTGGTTGAGCAGAGTACGATATATTCTGCTTCAGCTGAGGAGAGAGCGATTAATTCCTTCTTACTCGACTGCCACGAGATAGGTCCGATAGGCTCGAGGCGGTAGATGTAGCCTGCGCGCGAGCGCCGGTTGTCAGAATCTCCGGCGTGGTCGGCGTCGACGTAGCCGATTAACTTAGGCGTTGTAGTTCCGTTTTTGTAGTAGGTCAAGCCGATCAATGGAGTGCTAACGAGGTAGTGAAGAGTGCGGTCGAGCTCTGCCATGTGTTCAGCTTCAGGCCTTTTAAGGTAGGTGGCGAGTTGACTTGCAGAGTATGATAGGTCCGGGCGGCAGGTGACAGTCGCGAAAAGAAGGCATCCCAGCTTCCTCTGGTAGTCGCGTATCTCGGCAGGCTTGAGTGGAGTGGAGCCTTCCTTGTGATTTCCTGCCGTGTAGCGGTATGGCGTGGAGATGGTAGTTGGTGTGATTGCGAAACGTTTGGCGATGGTGTCGGCGTATTTCGCGGCATTGAGGTAGATCGCGTTATCTTCTTCCTGAATGTTGAGGCCGAGGTACTGCGTGACGGTAGATGAGACTGTGAGCGTGAGATCTTTCTGTAGCTCCCCTTCGAACCAGGTAGTGACGTTGTCGGTCGACCCGATGTAGAGTAGATCGTCTACGTAGACGATTAGTAGGATGTAGTCGGTATCTTTTGTAAGCCGGTACATCCCTTGGTTGTGAGGTAGCTGGCGGAATCCTATGCGGATAAGTCTGGCGTGCAGGTACTGTTACCACAGCCTCGGGGCTTGTTTGATGCCGTAGAGCGACTTCAGCAGCTGACAGACGTGATTAGGTTTTCTGTTGGAGCCATGTGGTAGTTCGACGAAGATTTCTGCGTCGACAGGTGCGTAGAGGAATGCATTGGCGACTTCAATTTGCCGTAGCTTTTTCTTCTTCATGGCGGCGATTGCGAGGAGAATTCGCAGCGAGGTGTGTCGGCTGACCGGGGCGAATGTCTCGGTGAAGTCGCGTCCGTGCTCTTGGTCGAAGCCGCGTACGACCCACCGCGCTTTAAACTTGTCGATGGTGCCGTCTGCCTTTGTCTTCACACGGAAGACCCATTTCCCGGTGAGTACTGTCTTGTTTCGTGCCACGCCGATGGGAACAACTTTCCAGGTGTTCCGTTCTTCCAGTGCTTTAAGCTCCTTGTCCATGGCTTCGCGCCATTTTTCCCTATGCTCCCCCCCAAGAGCCTGCTGAACCGTGGCAGGCTCCTTAGGAATCTCCGTGCCGTGGACCGCGGTGACGAGGCCGAGTATCTGGAGGCCACTCTGTGTGTAGCGGGGGAGAGTTGTGTCCGCGGGATAGGCTGCTTCGTCACCTGCTTCTGGGTCAAGTATGAAGTTGGGCCCTATGCGTTCTGCTTCGTTGGTGTTGACTTCTGCAGGTGTAACGTAACCGTTGTCGGCGAAGTGGTAAAATACTTCGGCGTTGGCGCTTTCGCGAGGAATTTTGTCATCCATTGGGACGTTGTCGGAGCAGTAAGGGAGAGGTCCGGCTTCCTCTGAGGCTTCATCCACGTTCTGCTCGTCCCAGTCAGCTTCGTCTGCTGCCGAGGCGAAGGCTCGGTCACCACGGAAGCCGCCTGTGGGGTCCCGATCTTCTTCCAGGTTGGCAAGGTACGTCGGAAGGGTGAGTCGTTCGTAAAAAATGACATCACGTGCTGCTACTGTTTCCTTGGAGTGGACGTCGAAAATCTTCCACGCGTTGTAATTTCTTTCGATGCCCAGGTGTAGTCCCCACTGTGCGCGTTGGGAAAATCGGCCGGCTCGTGCAAATGGGGGTCGGTACTGTACCATGCAGCCGAAAACTCGTAACATTTTTGTGCTGCCCTGTTTTCCTGTCCACAGCAGGTACGGTGATGCGTTGTTCGGGAGCGATGATGACGAGAGCAAGTTGTGCAGCATGACAGCGTGGTCCATTGCTTCGGGCCACTGGTGGTTGGGCAGTCGCATGCCTTGTAGCAGCTTGCGCATGGTGTTCTGGAGAGTCCTGTTCATCCTTTCTGCTACGCCTTGCTGCTGGTGAGGGTAGGGAAGAGAGATGAGCCTTTTGATTCCTCTTTCTGCCAAGTACTGCTTGAACCGTTGTGAGGTGTATTCTCCTCCTCCATCTGACTAGAAGCTTTTTAGCTTCACGCCCGATTCTCGTTCTGCTACTGGGAGCCAAGCGACGAAGGCCTCGAAGGCCATGTCCTTGCTCGGAAGGTTAAGGTGCCAAACGTAACGCGTAGCGGCATCGATGAACGTGATGGTGTAGCTGTATGCTCCTTGTCCAGGTTCGCGATTGTACAGGATGTCGCTGTACACTTTCTCAAGTGGCGCGTAAACTGGTGCGCTGGGATTGTGGTGAGAAGTGAATGGCCGATGTGGTAAGTCAGCTTCGGGGCAGGTAAAGCACGTCCCACGAGCTCGTCGAAGTTCGCTTCCGTCGGTTAGGAGCAGTGAATCTTTGTCGAGCACGCCTGCTCTGATTGTGTTGTTTAACACCGTGTTGCTTGGATGTCCCATTCGTGCGTGCCAGATGTCTTCGCCAGCTCGATGTCCGGGTGAGCGACGGTATAAGTCGGAGTTGGAGTAGAAGCTAGCGGTGAAGTTTGCGCTTCGATGTACTTCTCGTGGTGTTGGGTTCAGTTGCTGCGCAGGAGTCGGTGGAGTGTCATCGTCGATTGGAGCCGGTGCAGTTGAAGGACCCGCGATTGGTGTCGATGTTGTTTCTGCTGCTGCCGATGTTGTCTCTGCTGCTGCCGAAGTTGTCTCTGCTGCTGCCGATGTTGTCTCTGCTGCTACCGATTGTTGAATCGTTGCTAATGCTCTTGTTCGTTCTGCCTCAGGAATGGTGTGCGAGTACCAGAAGCCTTCGGGACTGAAGTTGGGGTCGAGATCCGGTGGATGTGTCCAGGAGGTGAAGGTGACGATCCCGTCGCTGTCAGCGGTGCCAAGATCTGGGACAAAGTCGAGGACGAAGACGTTATTCTTCAGGACTGCCTTGCCGATGTAGAGACCTCCTCTCCCGTGGTACAACTTGAATTCATGTGTTGTGCTATCTGCTTCAAGGTGGATGCCTATCGCCATCAGTTGACTGACACTCAGTAAGTTGTAGCCGAGTCCCTTCGCAATTAACACTTTTGACATTTGCAGTATCACGTTTGTCTCTCGTGACTGAAGTTGCACCACACCTTGTCGTCGTGTGCGCAGGTTCTGGTTGTTGGCGACGGTGATGACGACTTCGCGTTGAAGTTGGTGTTCGCGCTGAACAAAACGTCCTGAAGAGCACATGTGCTGTCCGCAGCAACTGTCCAAGAACCACGTATCTTTCCCGGACGGCTCGCTTTGAGCGATGGCTGCATACGTCGGATTTGGTTGAAGTGACTCGCGGCGAGGCGTGCTGTTGTCGAGTTGCTCTTCCGGTGAGTAATGCGGTGGTGACTCTGTGATGCAGGAGTCGGTTAGCCGTGCCATGCAACTGACGATGTTTCTTGTTTCTTGCGTAGGTTGTCCCGTCGACGTTGTTGAGGCTTGTACTTGAGTGGTCGGATTCGCTTGCGTTGAGGCGACTTGACTGCTTGAAGGGCGAAGCGGCCGCTGCGTTGGCGTTGACTGCTGCCGGTTTGGGCAGTGTGTACGGGGGTGACCTGATGTCTTACAAAGGTGACAGAACGGAGGTACTGGTTTCGGTTGATGCCGATTGTTGTTGTTGTTGTAGCGCCGTTGAGTGTGGAATGCAAATTCGGGCACTGATGCCTTCCTCTTGTGTCGTTCTTCTTGCAGATCCATATCTTGCTGCTCAGCGTGGATCTCGGCGCAGAGTGCTGCTTCTGATATTTTTCCGTGAGCTCAGAGTATGGCGCGAGTGGAGCGCCACTGAGGACCGAGGCCGCCGATGATGACTGTGACGAAGGCGTCTTCTGAAATCGACCCTCCGCATCGAAGGAGTTTGTCGCGCAATTCGCGACAGCGGCTGATATACGCCATCCCCTTTTCGCCCGGTTTCATTTCGACTGTTGTCAGTTGCGCCATCAACCGACTTTGATTGACGCTGTCTGCTGCTTGATACAGGTTCTTTAGGTGGTTGTACGCGAGCTCTGCAGAGTTGCCGTATCCCCGGTAAGACCGTATATTCTGCTGCTGATTCGGAGTGATGTTTCTTAGTAGTATTGTGTACGCCATCATTGACTGATACGTGTAC